TAGGGTGAATTTCCACAATATTTCAAATTCTGCACTCGTTCGCCGTTATTATAGTTGGGGTTAGCGGTACTACTAAAAACGTACCTCAATGACCTCGCCCGAAGTCAGCGAACAACTCCCCCCGCGACATACACGCGCTCACTGTTGGTCCTGTAGGGGTTATCGATGATATTAAAATGTATTTCAGTTTCCTCGCCCGAAGTGAGGGCACATCCCCCAACTTACCCTCATAACTTTTTCCTCCATGTATCCAGTCGCGATGTGTCCGGCGTACGGGCGTCCCTCAACTGCCTACACTGGCAGTTTCTTCTTCTCCTCATTAGCCGTCTAGGGTTTATAATTAGGAATTTGTTGGCCATAATCTCCTTCGTCTGAATGGCATTCACAGTCTGCATCCTCTTTTTTAAGGCATTTTCCTCGGTGTCTTTACGGCCCCCTATATACTTCAGCCGTAAAACCCCTAATAACAGGGTGCCCTATTACACGAACCTTTCCAACAGGCTTTCCTAGCGGCTTCCACCGAAAAGCCATTTAGTAGAAAGACTGATTTGAGGTCGAGTCTTACGTAGTAGAACGCTACAGATAGTGCATATTTTAGGTATTGCGAACTTTTCAATTCTGCTATCTTTTCTGTTGCACAGAAATCTTTGTCTGTAGTAATTTTATCCCTGATGTCAACAAAGTATTAATACAATTAATATCGATCGGAATGCCAAATCGAAAACGTACAACACTTTATACGGATATATTACATAAAGGCACCATGCGTCGATAGAAAAAATGCATTTTGAACAGTTTCAAGATGTGCAGGTTTAAGTGGATACTATCAAACTGAACTGACCTCTTCCCTGATGAACAAAATTTCCCACAAAAGATATGTGACAGTGAGTTTCGGGTATGTCCTTCCTATAGAAAGACGTGGCCATGAGCTTGGCTAGATGCTTAGATGTGGATGGATCAATACTTATTTGTAATGTTAACTGTTGTGCCAGTGAGCAATCAAACCCATTAAAGCTGAAAATCATTATCGGTTTCCAGAACACAAGGTGTAAACTGCTTGGAAGGATAGTAGTCAGGGCCAA